CCTTGACAAAGAGCCCCAGGCACTGATGGAGTACCCACTGGAGTGTTTCAACAAACAGATGCCGCCCTAGATGTGCTCACTGGAAAAATGCCAAGAAAAGTGGAAGACAACTACTTGGTCAATTGATTGAAATAGATCAATATTGTGCCTATTACAAAAAAAGTGATACAACAGAGTGAAGAAATTATCAAAATCTCTTCCTCTTTATTCAGATGTATGTGGTCAGAACAGAACATCAACAGGGAACTGCCAGAAATTAAAACAAGCAGAGTATGTTGAATGAGGGCTATGATTTGTTGAAGTCAGGCCGATGTTGGCTGCAAGTGAGATACCAGAGAGATGTTTACTGTGTTTTACTAATGATGCCAAGGCATTCGGCAACGCAACTTACAGTAACTTATGACTGACATTGAGAGGAGTGAGAATCCCAGAACTTCTAACTATGTTCATACGAGATCTGTATGTGAATCGAGAAGTAATCATCTGTACAGAACAGGGGGCACGGGATGGCTTAAAATCAGGAAAGATGTGTGTCAGGCTGTGTCATTTCTCCACAACACACGTGTATATAACATTAAAAACCAGTTACCTTCCAGTGAGCTCTGTCCTGGGACCCCAAGTACGTGTCAGAGGTGACTTGTGACATGTGGGTACAGTGGCTGAGTTTTCAGAATTGGATAGCCAGGCCTTCCCTCTGAGATACCTCTTCATGGCCTTGGCCCTCTAACTTCTGAGATACCTCTGAACGGCCTTGACCCTCTAACATTTCAGTTAGCTTCTGAGGTTGTTCACTGCCCTGCCCAAACCTCTACTGCTGTGCACAGGTGAATGGACTCCTTCCTCCACACCAACCTGTCTCTCTCTCTCCGCATAAATATATCGTTATGTTCTATTGAGTTAGAACTGACTCATGGCTGACCCTTCAGCAGGTTTTCAGAGACTTAATGAACTTGGATCCACAATCAATGCCTTTGGTACCAACATTCAGGAAATAAAAAGATATATCACATTGGGAAGTCTGCTATCTGGGACCGCTCCAAAATGCTGAAGAGCAATGATGTCAGTTTGAAGACTAAGGTGGACCTGATCCAAAGTATAATCTACTCAGTCACTTGCTATGCTGCCGAAAGCTGGAAAATGAATTAGGATGAGAGAAGAATTGAATTGTGCCTTTGAATTGTGTTGTTGGAGAAGAGTCCTATGGACTAGATATGTCCTGGGAAGGGTGCTCCTTGGGGGCGACCATGGAGAACTTCCTCTCTCATGTCTTGGGCATTGTTAGGAGGGGTCAGTCCTCGGAAAGGACATCATGATGGGAAGGTGGAGGGTCAGCGAAGGCAGGGGAGACCCTCCACAGGTGGACTGACGGTGACTGTAATGTTGGGCTCAAATGAGTCAGAGCTGTGAGGATGACAGGTCAGGGCTCCAATCATTGTTCAGAAGGTCGCTGTGACTAGTTGACAACAGCAACAAAGCACATGGGACGTTTGCCATCTTTCTCACGGAGCAGCTGGCAGTTTAGAAGCACTGGCTGGTTGGCATTGCAGCTCCTTCCACGAGGCACAAACCTCCCTCCACGGCCCAGGGAGAGTGAAATCAGCAGGGCAGACAGCGGGTTGGAGGCTCAGACAGCTTTGTGCATAACTGTGTGGAGGCCAGGCACTCCCCCCAGAAGCCCCAGGGTTTCCTCTTCAACTATCAGATCAAGGCCACCCACATTGGTTTTTTTTTAATATATTTTTTTAAATTTTATTATTTTTTTGTGTGTGTACCATCAGCACATCAGCAGAGAACTACCAGAAGTCCAGGCTGGGTTTAGAAGGGGTCATGGTACTAGGGATATTGTAGCTGATGTTAGATGGATCTTAGCTAAAAGGGAATACCAGAGGAATGTCTATACGTGTTTCATTGATTATGCAAAGGTGTTTGACTGTGTGGATCATAACAAACTATGTCTGACTCTGAGAAGAATGGAATCCCAGAACACTTGATCGTGCTAATGTGAAACGTATACTTGGACCAGGAGGCAGTCGTCAGAGCAGAGCAAGGGAACACTGCATGGTTCAAAATTGGGAAGGGCGTACGCCAGGGATGCATCCTATCTCCATACCTTTTCAAGCTATATGCAGAACAGATTATCCGGGAGGCTGGGCTCTATGAAGAGAAATGTGGGGTCAAGATTGGTGGACGATTTATCAACAATCTGCGTTATGCAGATGACACAACCCTGCTTGCTGAAACTGAAGAGGACCTGAAGCGCCTGCTGCAGAGGGTCAAGGACTGCAGCCTCCAATATGGATTGAGGCTCAATGTCAAGAAGACAAAGATTCTCACCACTGGACCAATTGGCAGCATCAGGATGAATGGTGAAGAGATTGAGATTGTACACAGCTTTAGTTTGCTTGGCTCCACAGTTAACAGTCTTGGCACCAGCAGCCAGGAAATTAAAAGGCGCATTGCCATGGGAAAGTCTGCTGTTAGGGACCTCTCCAAAGTACTGAATGAAGAGCAATGGTGTCTCTCTGTAGACTAAGGTGCGTTTGATACAGGCCATGGTCTTCACAATCACTTGTTATGCATCAGAGAGTTGGACAATGACCAAGGAGGAGAGAAGGAGAATTGATGCCTTTGAGTTGTGGTGCTGGAGAAGAGTATTGAGAATACCATGGACTGCTAGGAAAACAAGCACTTTCATCCTGGAAAGGGTTAAACCAAGTGGCTCCTTGGAGGCAAGGATTCTGAGGCTCTGTCTAACATTCTTTGGACATATTGTGAGGAGAGACTGGTCCTTGGAGAAGGACATCGTGCCTGGGAGGGTGGAGGGACGGCGCAGGAGGGGAAGGCCCTCTATGAGGTGGATTGATTCAGTGACTGGGATAATCGGGATGGGAGTGTCAGAGACAGTGCAATTGGCACAGGACAGAGCAGAGTTTAGGGCTGTTGTACATAGGGTCGCTATGAGTCGCAAGCGACTCGACGGCACATAACAACAACGACAACAACCATCAAATCTGATCTGACTATACAGGAAAAGATTGTCCCTCCTTCTCCAGCAGAGCATCTGGTGGATTCGAACCGTGAGCCTCTGGGATTGCAATGCAGCTTCTTGCCACTAGGCCACCAGAGCTTGCCTCCCACCCACATTAGGAAGTTGACTTCGGGTCACCTGATTGTAGGTTTTAATCAAATCTAGAAAACACTTTTTCTGAAATAAGTACAGTTGTGTTTGCCAAACACGTGGGCACCTCTCCACGCCACCTGGACCTGGCATCCCTGGGGTCTGGACGAGAGAGCAAACCCTCCCTCACAGCTGAGCATGCCTGATTGGTTGTTGTTGTTGTTGTTGTTGATTGCCATCGAGTCAAGCATGACTCATAATGACCCAATGAACAAAAGGCCTGAAACCCCTCTACAACTTTCGACATTTATCAAAGTTCACAGAGTTGCCTGATGGGAAGCAGAGAAAATTCTGGGCCAGGTGAACCCGACCTGGCATGAGGCCTCAGGCCGGGGGGCTGAACCTTGGGGACCTTCTTTAAATACAACACAGTGTAACAAGCTGACAGGTGAGTTGATGGTGTAGCCCCTGTCAAGTAGACTAGGACTCCCCGGTCTGAACCTTGCCCCGTGCTGCGCCAGCCTCACGTGTCTGCTGGGCTACAGTCCAGTGGCATTCTACCTCACGGAGGGGCTTCCTCTCTTTCTCTGACACTCCACCTTTCCCATCATGATGTCTCTTCCCAAGGACTGGCCTCTCCTGACATGCCCAGAGCAGCACTCTGGTTACATCCCTTCCAAGCCACTTACGATGGTTCTTCCGGCACTTTGTGGTCTGTTGTTTCAACACTGCGATTCCAAGGCCCCGATATCTTCAGTCTTTCTTATTCAGCCTTAATCCTGTCTCTAACACTACATTCAAGAGGAGCCCAGGTCTACACTTAGTCCCAGTCTTAATCCTAAACTTCGCCCTTACCTCCACACTAAACCGCCACCCCTAGACCCCACCTGCGAGGAAAGCTAACTTCATCAGCACCCCGGTAGGCCCTCCACCAGCCTTACCCGAGGCAGTGCAGCAGCCTTCGGTCATCTGAGAGGCCACAGCGCTGCAAGCTCCAGGGGACCCGTCGGTGCCTGAGCTAGAGTACACGGCCTGTGTGGAGTGAGCACGGCTGTCCACGCAGAGACGCAGCTCTGACCCCTGCTTGGGAGCTGCAGCTGGGGGCGGGAGTGGGGAGGGCAGGAGGAGATGGAGCAGGAGGCAGCTTGGGCTGGCCTGAGGGCAGGTAGACCGAGTGAGGGAACCAGCACTGAGCCCTGGCCATGGCCACCCTCTCCTGTGCCAGGCTTGAGGTCCCGTGCTGCGGCCCAAGGAGTGAGATGCAGCTTGCAGGTGGTGTCCTGAGGAGGACCACGATGGTCTGGGGAGAAGGGCCATCTGCAAGAGAAGCAGAATGGGATGCCCGGGTCAGGTGGAGAGGGGCTGAGCTGTGAGCCGTCTGGACACGGGGTCAACAGGGATAGCCTGGGAGGAGGCCCCAGGCACTGTCCAGCTGTGAGATGGGCAGGGCCTGGTTGGAGGGTGGGCGGGGCCTGCTATGAGTGGGCATGACCCACCCTCCCTGCTGCTAGCGAGCTTCTTCCTGGGCGGGCCCTGGCTGCAGGGTGTGGTCTACTGTAGAGTGGGAGGGGTCTGCAATGGGGGGGATGGGCGCCTGCTTCAGGGTGGACAGGCTTTGCTGTGAGTGGGCGGGCCCTGTTTGTGGGCTGGGTGTGGTCTACGGTGGAGTGGGAGGGGTCTGCAGTGGATGGGCGGGCCCTGGCTGCAGGGTAGGCGTGTTTGCTGTGAGTGGGCGGGCCCTGGCTGCAGGGTGGGCAGGGTCTACTGTAGAGTTGGTGGAGTCTCTGGCAGGTGGACAGGCCCTGGTTTAGGGTGGGTGAGGCCTGCTGTGAGTGGGTACGGCCATGCAGCAGGCACTGACCCACCCTCCCTTTCACTGCAGAGCTTGTTCCGGGGCCTGGCCTGGCCACTGTCCTGAGGAGACTACCCATGTTCCATGATGAACACTATGCCCAGGCCTGCCAGCTCCCAGAGGACACCCTGGCCCTGCCGTAAGTGCAAACTGAGGAGGGGGCGTTCTCGGGCCAGGGGTCAGGGTTGAAGGGGCAGATTTCGGCTAGTGCCCACCGAGGGTGCAAACAGCACAGCGTGGTCCCTGAGGAGCAGGTCATAGTGTCCACCGTGTGTCCTCTCACCGCGCAGTCACTAGTGTTCTCGTCCATACACATGGGCTTCAGCCTGGGCCGTGGACCTCTGGGCCTATGTCCCAGCACACTGGTGCAGCTGGGCACAGCCCGCAGCCTCACATGACTGACCACCAGAGAGCCTGGAAGCCTGTCGTCCACTCCCATTTTCTGGGCTACATCCTTCAGCTGCCCCCAAGCACTGGACACTCCTCTGAGGTGGCTCCTGGTTGACACTCAGAGCTGGGCTGTGGGAGGTGACCCGCCCAGGTGGCCATGAGGAATGCAGGCCAGGTGTGGACTGACCTCTGCCTCCCGCAGCCCCGCCAGCCCCTACCAGAGGGTCATCTACACGGTGCTCGAATGGCAGCCCCTCTTAGACTCGAGTGACATGACCATGGCAGAGTGGGTGCAGATTGCCCAGACAATCGAGGTGAGACGAGGCCTGCACGGGGCTGGGAGGGGCTGGACGGATGTGGCCAGATGGCTTGGGAAGGGCCAGTGGCTGGGACTGTGGGGAGGAGGCCTGAAACATGGCTGCAGAGATGATAGGAAGGGCCAGTGGGCTGGGTGTGGTCTAGGAGAAGAGGGACATCCAGTGGGAAGCCGGGGTGGCGGCATAGGTGATGGGAGGGACGAATGGGATGGGCGTGGTCTAGTGAAGGGGCGTGGCATATGGTGGGGAAGTGGGCATGGTTGGGCGGGTGATGGGAGGAACAAGTGGGATGGGCGGGGCACAGAGCTGGAAGTGGGCGTGGCCAGCGGAATGATGGGCGTGGTCTATGGGGAGGGGCATTGAGCTGGAAGTGGGTGTGGCTGTGGACATGAATGGGGCTGGATGGTTGGTTGAACATGCCTGGCTAAGTGGGGTGCTGAGGCTTGCTGGGGTGAGGATGGGAGGAACTAGAGGATCCGGGCAGAACTAGGAAGGTGGACCACTCTAGAAGGAGTGGCTGGGGTGCGGCTGTGAGAATGGGCGGGGCTGGAGGGGCGGGACAAAGTTAGGGGGGCTGAGGTGGGGCTGTGAGGATGCCAGGGCTGGAGGAGCAAAACCGAAGCTATGAGGATGGGTAAGGCTGGAGAGGCAGGGGTGGGGTGGAAGGGACTGGGAAGATTGGCTTGGAGGATGGGCTGGGCTGGGAGGGTCTGGGTGGAGTTGTGGGGGCTGGGCGGAGGAGCTGATGAGCAGGGTTGGGGGAAAGGTGGGGACTGTGAGGATGGGTGAGGAGCCCGGGATGGGGCTGAGGTGGGGCTGAGGGGCGGGGGCAGTGCTGGCAGGATGGCTCTGGGCTGGGAGGGTGAATAGATGGGGGTGAAGTAGGGCAGGTTCTGATGGTCAGGTCTGCAGTGGGAACATCTTGGTTGCAGGATGCTGGCTTGGGGCCATCCCCTTCTAACTAGTATCCCTCTCCTCCCCATCCTTGGACCCCTGAGCATCTGCTGGGGCACATACCAGACCGTGGGTCCAGGGCCACTTCAACTTCTCCCACTCTCCAAGCCCAAGTCCCATACTTAAGGTGCCCTGGAGCCCCAGTGGCTCGCACAGACTGCTAGTGGCCACTCCTCAGACACCCAGGACAAGAACAACTATACCCTCGCTATCACCACGGGCGTCCGTGCACAGGATGGAGCAGGCTAGGCCTTGTTTCCCCGAAGGTCATGGCCATCATGAGCACGTGTGGCCCAGCGAAGGTCCAGGAACACCTCTCCCTTTTCTTCAAAACCAGGCACCCACCACACAGACACACTGGATGCTGGACCCGCGTCTGGCTACCGCACAGTGGCCGCCTTGTGCCTCTCCTGCGTGGCCAGCAGAGGGCACCCCGCCCCATCTCTTGGACTCTGCTCTGCTGGGCAGCCAGGTCCTTGGGAGAGGTCCCAGGAGAGCTGCCTTCCGGGCTCCAGGCCCCACGTGCTGATGGACCTTAGAACTGGGGCCCTACAGCCACCTTTGTACCCGGAAGCCCATTAGGGTCTAATGTGACCTTTGGGTGGCAGTGACCAGTTGTGTGCCATCAAGTCAGAACCCACCCAGAGCTGACACTGCAGCGGATGTCAGCCACAGTAAATCACTTGGGAGGAGATTGTTTGTCCTCCTGAAAAGCAGCTGGTGGTTTCAAACTGTGCACCTTTGAGACTACAGCACAGATTCTTACCATTAGGCTAACAGGAGTCTAATGGCCACCCTGCCCCCAAGGACTGGCAGCTGGCCCCAAGGGGGCTGCATCTGTTTCTGGCCATGTCCTGTGTATGTCCACTACATCTGACCACTGTGTCCCCCCTTCCCTCCCACTGGGCTGGTCCCAGAGGTGCTGCAGGCAGACCCTCAGAGTGCAGGGACCCTCAGCCAGGATTGCTGGCTGCTTACATAGTCCTCTGCTAGCACAGGACCTCAGCGGGTGCCAGTGGACCCTGCCTGTGTTGTGGTGGAGGTGGGGGACTGTGCTCAGGCAGAGTCTGGAGCTACAGTACCCCACATTGTCGAGGTCAGATGGCTCAAATGAGGACTCAGGGGAGCTGGGGTGGGCACCAGGAGGGGCCGGGAGAGGGGGTGAGCCGTTGCCGTTGCTTGCAGAGACACCACGAGCAGTACCACGGCTTTGTGGTCATCCATGGTACGGACACCATGGCCTTTGCTGCCTCCACACTCTCCTTTGTCCTGGAGAACCTGCAGAAACCGGTCATCCTCACTGGGGCCCAGGTAAGCCCAGGGGCCTGTGTGCTGTCCACAGGTGGGGCTGCTGGCCACCAGCCTCCTCGAGTGGCCAGCAGGGATCTGAGTGGGGGCTCTGGGCACAAACACAGCTGTTGGGGACAGGTGGCTTGTGGCCATAGCCTGCGGGTTTTGGTTTTTTTGTTTATTTGTTTTATAGCAGTCTGCCCCAGCAAAGCCCAGGGTCCAAGCTTGCCCAGCTACCTGCCCTCTCAGATGAGGCCTGTGGGGCTCCTTGAGGGTTTGGGGAACTCAGAGGGATGGCCCCCCTCTCAGCCCTTTTATGGCTTCCCCCAGGTGCCTATCCATGCCCTCTGGAATGACGGCCGGGAGAACCTGCTGGGAGCACTGCTCATGGCGGGACAGTACCTGATCCCTGAGGTGATGGGGGTGCTCGGCTGTGGGGGTCGAGGTCGGACTCCTGAGGTCCTGCAGAAGGACTCAGAATTGGCTCTGCAGACAGTGGTTTGCAACTGTTATGCTCCAGAGATGCCGGCTGTGAACAGCCCACTGTATTGGTCTGCACTTTCCCTGGGCCCCGTGGTGTGGAGGGAGACCTGTCTGTGGAAGCTTGGAAGTTCAGATCCACCCAGAGGAACTTAGGAAGAAATGCCTGGCTGTCACTTCTGGAGCAGCAGCTACTAAATGCTGTGGACACATGAGGTCCTGACGGCTCGGGGGCTCACGTCACCACAGCCCAGACACAGGGTCATGACAGCATGGGGGCTCGCATCACACACAGCTCTGCTCGGACATGAGGTCCTGACGGCACGGGGGCTCACATCACACACAGTTCTACTCGGACACGGGGTCCTGACACACAGCTCAGCCCGGACACGTAGTCCTGACAGCACAGGGGCTCACGTCAGCACAGCTCAACCTAGATATGGGGTCCTGATGGCACGGGGACTCCTATCACACACGACTCTGCTTGGACGTGGGCTCCTGACAGCACAGGGGCTCACGTCACACACAGCTCAACCCAGTCATGGAGGGGTCCACCAGCACAGGTACTTATGTCACACACAGCCTGACAGCACGGGGGCTTGTGGCACACCTTTGCCAGGCCCTGGACAGGCACATGGAGCAGAGCACAGATTCCGAGTCTGGGGTCTCTTTTTTCTTCTCCATCTCCCTCCATCCTCTGCTTGGGACCAGGAGCCCCTTTTATCTTTAGAATGTCCCTTCCTGAGGAGGGGTGCCAGCATCCCCTGCGGAGAATGTGGGGTGACATTTTCAGGATTGCTGTCTCTGGCTGTCCTGTCTCAGCAGGAGAGTCAGGCCAGGGCTACCCCAGGGCCACCCCATGGGGACCAGCTCTCAACACTGCACTGGGCGTCCACTTGGGTTCGTGAGAGGGAACCGCACAGGACCAAGGGTTTGTTGCTGGTTCTGGGGTGTGAACTGGGAGCCACTGTCTGCAGGGCGGGCCTTGGCCTGGGTTGGGATGCAGCGGGGCCACTGGACACTGGAGGTGATGACTCCAGGATCCCAGCGCTGAGCCTCCCCACCTCTTTCTGCAGGTCTGCCTCTTCTTCCAGAACCAGCTCTTCCGGGGAAATAGGGCCACCAAGGTGGACTCCCGGAGGTTCGCAGCCTTCTGTTCCCCTAACCTGCCTCCTCTGGCCACAGTGGGAGCAGACATCACCAGTAAGCTGAACCCAAGTTGGGACAGAGAAGCTGTGACCATATGGGAGGTGCTGTGTAGACTGGGGGTGGGGGCTCTACTCGAGCCCTGGAGAAATCAGATGGGAACATGCTGAGGGAAAATGGAGACCTCGGGCTGGGCTCTGGGGCTGGAGCAGGAGGAGGAGGTCTGGGGGTCTGCCCCAGCCATGTGCACTCCAAGGGGGACTCTGAGTTTGAGTCTTTTCCTGCCTGGCCATGGGACTGTAGGTCCCTGGGGTGTGACCAGGCCCTAACATGTCCTTAGAAAGTCTTTGGACATCCACTGGACCTGGCAGGAGCCCAGTGCTCCTAGATGGCTGTGGATGTCTCTGTGCTCCCCTGGGGGGCTGCCTGGCTTCTCCTGCTTGCCCTGGGTAGAGAAGCTGCCCCAGTCTCGTTTCAGGACATCTGAGGCTCAGGGCTGCTCAATGAGCTGCCCCCCACCCCCAGGCCAGGAGGGAAGGTGGGGCCGGAGGTGAAGAAAGAGCTGGATCACTCCTTCTCTGGGGCTCAGAGTGCAGCCTCTTGAGGTTCCAGGGGCTGCCTGAGCACAGAGCCATGTCTGGATCGCAGGCCTGTACCACCCTGGGGGCCAGCAGGGCAGCGTGGGGTACAGAGTTAGGGCTGCCCACCCCAGCCCACCACCCCAGGCCTTGTCTCCCACACTGAGTCCTCACCACAGACTAGGGTGCACATGTGCTATGTGTGACTGTGGGTTCTTACACTGGAGACAGAGCCAGGGGTAGGACAGGGTGTCCTGTCCACCCTCTGAAGCCCCTGGTGAGTTTCTGGATGATGGAAGGAGGGGTCCTCTAGGTGCTGTCTCAGGGTCCTGGGTGTGGTCACCTCCCAGGGGAGCTGGGCTGCCAGGCCTCCTCTGTGCCCCCCACCAGGTACTGACCCTGCAGAAGTCTGGTCTGAGGGGTGGGGCTTGTCCTGTGGAGGGGCTTGGCAGGTGACCAGGGTGTGAGGGGGTTCTCTTTGTCCTTTGGGAAGCTCGCTCTGAATGACCCTCTGCAGGGTCCCCGTGTTGGAGATGGCAACTACTCCATCCCTTGCTTCCCTGGCTGGGCTGAGTCCCTAAATAAAGGACACCCTGGCTGTCCAGTAGGAGGACAGATTAATGCTGTGGCCAGCGGAAGGAGGGGTGTGGGAGACCTGCTCTGTGCCCCTGTCCTGTGCCCCAGGGTCCCCACACCTCCCAACACTCCGAGGAACAGCCAGTGTCCACAAATATCACAGGGGTTTGCTGACTAGGAGAGTAGCCCTTGTCCAGGGTTCTCGTCTTGCTCTGACCCTGTGCCCGACTCCATGGTTCCTCTCAGACAAAGCCCTTCCCTCCTGGAGCCTCCGCTTCCTCAGAGGACATGAAAGGGCCAGCCAGGGGAAGTGGTAGTGTGCCAGGGACTTGACTGGGGAAGGGTCTGTCCTTGGAAGTGGGGCCTGTCCTTGGAGGTGGGGTCTGTCCTTGTAGGTGGGGTCTGTCCTTGTAGGTGGGGCCTGTCCTTGGAGGTGGGACCAGTCTTTAGGGGTTAAGATTAGCAGTGCCCACTTGCTCTTCCATCCTTGGGGACCTTTGGTGGCTCACATCACCCGGTGGACAGATGATCCTCCTCTGGGGTGTGGAGCAGGGGTGCTGACCCCCAGCACCTGTGCCCTGTACTTTCCCAGTCTCACTTCCCTCATGAGGAGGTCAAGTGGGTTAGGTGCTAGGACCTGGCGAGCAGAGGTTCGTTCCCTCTTCATTCATTCACTGCTTGAGAGCTTGCTCCAATGCGTGGGTTCGGGAGCACTTGCATGGGGACAGAGTCCCGGGGAGCGATGTGGGGCTTCAGAGTGTGTGTCAGGGTCTCATGTGGGGGCAGGGCATCGTGAGTGAGCGCAGGTCCTGAGTCGGTGTGGGTTCCAGTGTGGAGTCAAGTGGTCAGTAAGGGAACCTAAGCTGCCTCGTGGCCAGGGGACCTGCTGGAGAGCACATAGGGACAGAGAGAACATAGGGTGGGGGACATGGGGCAGAGGGGACATGGTGGCCAGGGGACGTGGTGGGGCGAGCACATGGAGATGGAGGGGACATGCGTAGAGGGGGTGTGGAGGTCAGGGGGACGTGGTGGTGGTGGGGACTTGCTGTGGAGGGTACAGGGTAGGCATCTGTCTGGGCTTCTGAACACCAGTGTGCCCGTTGGGCTCTGGCACCCAAAGAGCCTCTGGCCTCGCGGCGTCCATCTCTGGTGCCCGCAGAGCCGAGAGTCATGAGTGCATTGATATCCCCTTGCCCTTGTGTCCCTGCCGGGCCCCTGACCCCACTGACCTTTGTCACATGAGTCACCCACCGTGTCCTTCCTGGGCCCACCGCTGACCAGGAGCAAAGAGCAGATTGCTGGGCAGAGGTGGGCACAGCCGCAGGGGAAGCCCCGGACTCCTGCGGACTGGCGGGTGGGTGGGGTCGTGGAGGAGGACCAAGGGTGGAGCCGCGGCGTCTCCTCACCCCATCTCCCCCCACCTTGTCCTCAGTCAACTGGGGGCTGGTGCGGAAGGTCCGCAGGAAGGCCCCGCTGGTGGTGCACAGCTGCGTGGAGCGGGACGTGGGCGTGCTGCGTCTGTACCCCGGCATCCCTGCCTCTTTGGTAAGTCCACCTGCCCACCCTGCTGTGTGCCCCTCCCCGCTCACCCCGGTCAGCCCAAGGCCCACTCGGACCCAGATCTCATAACAACCCTGTGAATCATGGCGTTTGTTATGGTGCAGCGGGGAATGCCTGTCGGCAGATTCACTGATCAGAGATGCTGATGGGGCCCGTGAGAGGCCCACGTAGACCGCGCCCCACGTGGACATGATGTTGGGGAGCATACGGAACCAAGACAGGGTCCTGGTGGTGCAGTGCATTCAGCCAAACCGGCGGGCTGGCCTCAAGCCCACCTGCGCTTAGTGGAGGGCAGTGAGGTGCTCAGCTTCCCTGACCGCACCCCGGGAGCTCGCCTACCTACCCTGTTTGAAGGGTCTTTGAGGGTCAGCCCCCCGGCAGCAGGGTTTGAGATGGCCTAATTAGACCTGTGGGATGGGTGAGGATGGCGGGAGGTACTGTGATCTTGGAGAGAACATAGGAGTTTGAGGTTATTGTGCAGGAGATCTGTGGTGGGTCAAGTAGGCCTTCATCTTGTGGGGACCTCCAGGGCTGTGGTGCGCTCCGGCTGTCCCACAACCTCTCCTGGTCCCTTTCCAGGAGGCCTGGCTCGTGATCACATCAGCAGTGGTCACACAGTTTGCACACAAGGTGTAACTCTTTGGGCCCCCTTGGGCCACCATGGCCTCATGGTGGGGACACTGCAGGATTTCCAGCAGGGAGACCCCCTGCTCCCAAGAACAGTCCCTAACATCCACATTGAGGGGTGCAGATGAGGTCAGGCCACCAGCTCCTCACTTTGTCCTGACCCTCTCCAGGGACCTGGCCTTGTCCACTGGTCCCAGCCCTGCCCACAGAGCCACTGACCCTGTCAGCAACCCGCCACCGTCCTCCCTGACCTCTTACCTCCCCCATCCTTGCCCCTACTCCTGGACCCCCATTGCCCTCTGCACTGACTCCCCTACTCCTGGGTGCCCCTCGGGCTTCCCCCTGCCCCCCAGGTCCGGGCTTTCCTGCAGCCACCCCTAAAGGGCGTGGTCCTGGAGACCTTCGGCTCAGGGAACGGGCCCACCAAGCCGGAGCTGCTGCAGGAGCTGCGAGCAGCCGTGGGTCGGGGCCTCCTCATTCTCAACTGCACCCACTGCCTGCAAGGAGCCGTGACATCCGACTACGCCAGTGGCACGGTGTGGGGGCGTGCAGGCTACATGCTGGGCGGGGAGCCCTGGCTGGGGGTCATGGGGGGCGTCCATGCTGCATGCTGGGTGGAGATCCCAGGCTGGGGATTGTGGGGGGCATCTAGGCTGGGTGCTGGGTGGAGAGCCCAGGCCAAGGGTCATGGGGGCCATCCAGGCTGCGTGCTGGGTGGAGAGCTGAGGTCAGGGGATGGAGGGGTGTCTAGACTGGCACAGTGGGAAGGCAGAGGGAGAGAGCTTTTGTGGATCAGGTTGAGAGTCCACCTGTACCCCCAGGCCCTGGCAGGTGCTGGCCTCCTCTCAGCCTTCGACATGACATCGGAGGCTGCTCTGGCCAAGCTGGCCTATGTGCTGGGCCAGCCTGGGTTGAGCCTGGACGACAGAAAGCAGGTACCTGGGCAGCAGAGGGTGGAGAACATGCCTGGGGAGACTGGGAGAGTATAGGGCCAGCCCAGGTGTGGGATATGGGGCACCCTGGCAAGGGGTTGGGGATGGGGTATGAAGTACCTTGGGGGGGGGCTTGGCATGGTTATGGGCATCCCAGGGAAGAGCTGGGTATGGGGTACAGGGCATCCTGACGAGGGGCCGGGTATGGGTTATGAAGTACCTGGGGGGGACTTTGTATGGTTAAGGGCATCCCAGGGAAAGGCTGGGTATGGGGTATGGGGTACCCTGGGGAGGGGCTGGGTATGGGGTATGGGGTACCCTGGGGAGGGGCTGGGTGTGGGAACCCTGGGGAGGGGCTGGGGATGGGGTATGGGAACCCCGGGGAGGGGCTGGGTATGGGAACCCCGGGGAGGGGCTGGGTATGGGGTATGGGACACCCCAGGGATGGGCTGGGGATGGGGTATAAGGCATCCCAGAGAGGGGGCACCCCCAGGAGGACTAGGTGCAGGGTGTGGGGCACCTCGCAGAGGGGCTGGGTGTGGGCTGAGGCTCTCCAAAGTGCTCCCTGGTGCCCCTTCCCTTCACCTCTCACAGCCCTTGCAGGCTGACGGGGCCATGGAGGTGGCAGGTCCAGTCCAGGTGGGGTTGGAGCCTAATGCCTAGCCAAGCATAGCCCACCTGTCCCTGTGCGCCTCTACAGCTGCTGGCCCAGGACCTGCGTGGGGAGATGACCCTGCCGGCCACCGAGCGTCGGGTCTCACTTCGGGGCACCTCCCTGGGGTGCCAGGTAGCCCAGTTCCTCAGTCTAAGCGAAAACCAGGTACCACCTGGTGTGAGGGTGGGGACAGGGCATCCCTCCTCCTGGCTGGTAGGTCCAGTGTGAGCCCTTCAGCCACTGCCAGCCTGGTCCAGTCCAAGGGGCAGATTCCAAGTCCCCAGCAGAGTGTCAGGGACCCATGGTGCAGGCTGTGGAGGGAGCAGGTAGCTGAGTGGACCTCTGAGAGGAGTACTTGCCACGACCCTGCTGTTCATACTAGGTCTTGGTGTGGGAATGCTGGGTCTGGAGTCAGGACGGGCACAGGGAGCTGGCTCTCAAGGGGGCTCAGTGGGGACCCGGGCTCCAGGCCCTAAGCTGTGTCTCTCTAGAAGTGACCTGTGACCCAGACTCAGATTCCCCACCCCCAACCTGTGAACTTGGGGTAGAGCGGAGGCAGCCCCAGCAGGTCCTGTGTGGCAGAGATCGGCACAGAAGCAGTTCCCAGTGCTGGGGTGCGAGTTGAAGCTGTGCCTCAGTTTCCCCTGTAGCACTAGGCACTATGTCAGAGTCAACTGCTGCTTGCAGATGGTGGTCAGATGGAGGAGCTGGGCCTGGGGCCCTGTCCCTAGGAGGGCCACATCTACCTCTGGTAACAGGGGGGCATGGTGGTCACACCTCCATCTGACCCTAGCTGCCAGTACTTCATAACTTTCCCAGCAGGCATGGGGCTCTGGACACCCCCCACCTTCCTGAGTACTGAGGCCTGGGGGTCTTGGGGGGTAGTGGGCACAGGGGGACAGAGCATCCTCCTGCACACCCCTGCAGGTGACCACTGGCTTCCTCGAGGGCACAGACCCTCAGCATATTACAAGGGCCTTCTGTCTGTAGCTGCTTCCAGGAAGTGGGGGGCTAAGTGGGTCTCTGGGTGGAATGAGATTCGAACTCTGGACTATAGGACGTGACAGGCTCACCGTCCTGTGGGTGTCGGCCGGGCAGGTGGCCAGACCCTCGGCCTAGTGGCTGCTGGCCGTGCTCATGCCCGCTCTCCTCTGCCTGTCCCATCCCACACTGGGTGTCGAGGCCTCAGGATGTGGCATGGTGCTGGGGAGGGTCCCAGAACTGTGTGTGCCCACAGGAGCTGGGCGCTGTGCGGGATGCCCTGCTTCCCAGCCTGGCCTGTGCCGCAGCCCACGCCGGGGACCTGGAGGTGCTGCGGGCACTGGCGGATGTGGTGAGTAGCCGCTCTGGGCCAGGAGGGTGAGTGGAAGCAGCCAGTACTGTTCTGAAGGAGTGAAAGGCCTGTGTCCACCCAGGGCAGTGACCTGGACATGGAAGACTTCAGTGGTCAGACCCCACTCCACGCGGCCGCCCGGGGGGGCCACGCCAGAGTCGTTAGCATGCTGCTGCAAAGAGACGCTGATGTGAACGCCCGTGACAGGGACGGCCTCAGCCCGCTGCTGCTGGCCACCAGGGGCAGGTAGCTGGAGCCTGGGTGCAGGACGGTTAGGGTGGACGATTGGGCAGTACGGATGGCCACAGGCAGGGCACAGGATGGGTGGGGAGCTATGTCCCACAGCCCCGAGTCTTCCAGTCTGGGCATGTCCTCATGGTGCCTGCGCTCAGAGAACAGCAGCCAGGGAAGGCTTCTTGGAGGAGGTGATCTCCAGGCTGAGTGCAACAGGCCCAGGTTCACACCAAGGCTGTAGAAAAGCTGTGGGGATGAGGGGTTGGCTCCCCTCCTCGCTGCACTATGTGTGACCCCCCAGGTGAGGATGGTGGGATGTGATGGGCCCTCAGCCTAGCACCCCAGTGGGCAGATGACAGTGCACCTGGGACACTGCAAAATTGCCTAACTATCCTGGGTCAGCTGAGGACAGGGAGGGGCCCAAGCTGGCCTCACCCTCCATGCTCAGGTCCTGCCTGGGATGGGGGGTAGGGATGGGGCTGAGCATGTGCAGAGACCCCAAAATCTGGGCTGGCCAGGTGGAGGGCAGGCAGGGGTGGAGCCCCCGAGGTCTGTCCTCCTGAAGGGGCAGGACTGGAGGCTGGACAGGGTCTCATCTGTGGGGACGGTGGTGTACCCACTGTGACAGGGGTGTGAGGGGCTGTGTTGCACGTGCTCCTGGGGGTGATTGAGAACATGACACTGGGCGGGGCTCACTGGGCGACAGGACTGCCCTCAGCTCTGAGCTAACCTCCCTGTCATGGAGTTCAGCGTGCAGTGGAGGGGACGGGAACGTGTGTGCGGGCACATGGGAACATGTGTAAGCATATGTATGTGTGCAGGAGATGGGCGCGTACCTGCACCCACATCGACGGCCGTGCACGTGGGATAATGTGTGGACGTGTGCATGAAGAAACATGTGTGCAGACAGGTGTGTGCCGTGTACACATGTGAGAACACGTGTGCGCAGGCCCTGTGCGTGGGGAGCGGTGTGTGCATGTGGGGTCACGTGAGCACCTGTGTGTGCAGGAGCATGTGTGAACGGGGGCTGGTGCTGCTGGCGCCCAGCGGTGGGCTCTGTACCTGGAGCATCAGCAGGCCGTCCCACCGCAGCCCTGTGAGAGCCTCTGTTCTCCCCGGGGCTGTCCTTTGGCCAGGGGACTTCTCGGGGTGTTCCTTTTTCCTGGAGAGAAGTGGAGTATGTACCAGGCCACTGAGACAGAATACCCCAGTCCCCACGGCTGTGGTTGGTCCCGTGTCCTCACCCCACATGGGATCCTGTGTCCTCACCCCACATGGGATCCTCTGTCCTCATCCCACATGGGATCCTGTGTTCTCACCCGACATGCGATCCTATGTCCTCACCCCACATGGGATCCTGTGTTCTCACCCGACATGGGATCCTGTGTCCTTACCCGACATGGGATCCTCTGTCCTCACCCCACATGGGATCCTGTGTTCTCACCCGACATGCGATCCTATGTCCTCACCCCACATGGGATCCTGTGTTCTCACCCGACATGGGATCCTCTGTGCTCACCCCACATGGGATTCTGTGTCCTCACCCCACATGGGATCCTGTGTCCTCACTCATGGGATCCTCTGTCCTCACCCCACATGGGATCCTGTGTTCTCACCGGACATGGGATCCTGTGTTCTCACCAGACATGGGATCCTGTGTCCTCGCCCCACATGGGATCCT